ACTTTCATGATTTTCTACGTAGTCTAATAAATTTTTAATAAAAAAAAAAGTTTAAATTTTTTAGCCAATGACCTAAAACTACTGGTTAGCAAGACCTTTTTTAAAAGATACTAGGTAACATTATACTATTTTTAAGGTACGTTTGAATGAAATTATAACCAATTTATGAAAAATAACTATAAATACAAAGACAACCTTAATCTAAACAGCTTTTGCGGTGGGTGCATTAGTTTTTCATTCAATGTCCCACGGAACAGTTTCCATGTTTTCAGTTTTCAAAATTAATGAAGAAGTCAAACTTCAAAGCTACATAAAGAGTCAAAGGTTGGGAGGCTTCTATGAAACGCGTGTGCATACGAAGTTACAGAGCCCATTAAATGGCCCATTGAATGCATGACGCACACACATGCTTGTGAGTAGATCGGAGAGAAATTTGCTACTTTTTTCTTATTATACCTTACTTTTTATAAACTCATAAATTAAAAAGTTTAGTAATTAATTAAAGAAAAAAGATAAAATGAAAAATAAATAATAATTTTCACATACTGTGTAAAAGAATTTTAATCAATAAACATATTAAAAAGTGTTTAAAAAATTCTTAAAAAGTGTGTGAAAGAAAAAGAAAGAAAGAAGAGAAAAGGTAATTAATGTACAGGTGTTATGTGATTAAAATGCCATAAATCTAATCTATGATAAGACTCAACTTGGTGACATGGGAAGAGAGGCACTAAATAGAATGCTTATGAGTCAAACAAAGTCATAGACAGCAACCAATGGTTCTCATGATTAAGAAAATAATGGTAATTTGTTTACCATTATGGATATAGAATTACAGCGTGTCACATCGTTCACATTTGAAACCAAAATTCAACATTTGATGTAACGATCGATCTCATGGGCCTCCATAGTGGTACCTAACTGTAGTTGCTCCCTCCTAAGTAAAACCAAGTGTCAAATATGGCTGTGTGTTGATGTTTGTCATCGTGCATAAAATATCGTGCAAGTATGATTTCCATCTATTTTTCTTTGTTTAAAATAAATTAAAAAGTTGTGCATGTCATACACGATTTATATATTTTAAAAATCAAAAACTAAAAATTGCATATGGTAAGTAGACTTATTTTTTTGTTTTTTAAATAAGTCATAAATGTATTTATATATTAAATTTAGTAAATAAAAACATAACCATTGCAAACTCTATTTTTTATTTTAAACATTTATTTTATTGTTTTAACGTTATCTATGTTTGATACATACTTCTCCCCTTCTTCTTTTTTTTGCTATAATACCTCTCCCCTTTTTTAGTAAAATAAGGGACAATATCTTTAATATAATAATATTATTATATTTTTAATAAAAAAAATTATATGCTAAAAACTCCTTTAAAAGTTGAGGTTAATAAAATTGATAATTAAATTACCTTTCTAGCATGCTATTTGAAGAATAAAAGCAATAATAAGTACAAAATAATTTAAATGTGGATAGTTTGTTAACTTCAATTGTGAATGGATATATAATTGTAATAATTAAGATATTGTACATATATTTATTTTAAATAAAATATATAAGTTATGTATGTCATATTTAACTTATATTTAAAAAATATAAATCATCTTATGACACATGTAAGTTCTATTTTTAATTTTAAAATGTATAAATCCAATGTAGCATGTATTATTTACTAACTTATTTTTAAAATATAATTATACTAATTATGTTAATAATTTAAATTTTATATAAAACCCTCGATAGCAGAATATTTTCTATCAATTTCTAGAGTAAAAAAAAATATTAAAATCTAATGCAAAGTAGAAATATGAGAAATATTGACCACGTGCAATCCTTCTACAACCCAACAAGCAAATAGGAAAACTTGATGAATATTAACATGTATTATTAATTTTCATTAAAAATGTAATAAGTTAAAGTATTTTTTTATTATGATTTTATTTTTAATAAAATATTGATATTTTAAAAAATCAAATTATAATACTTCCAAAAATCACAATTTTACAAAGCATTTACCACGCTTAACTTATCATTGCACCTAATATTAATAAACTTATCAATAATTCAAATAAAAAATAACCAAAAATAATTTTTTGTCAGCTTGACAGAGGGCAGCACTGGTTCCATTGTGAGTGTTTTAACTGTTGATGTCAGGTAGCCTGAGACACCCTATTAGATAATACACTGTTTGCAATAGTAACCGTTGCTACTAGAGTGGCTAAGCAAGGTTTTATTCCTGAAAAAATAAATACAGGTGTCGCAATTAATAATAATAAAATTTTATTAAAAATATTTATTATAATTTTATAGTTTTAATATGATAAATATATTTTTCTCAATAAAAATTTATTATTTTTCATACTAAACTCAGGTTATAGACTAAATTTAATAAAATATTTTTTTAATTTCTAAATTATTATACATGATAAAAAGTTATATATGATCAATTTTTATTAAAAATTACAAAATATAATATTATTCAATATATTAATAATATTAATATATTATATTTTTTTATAAAAGTTTACTATAGATAACCTTTTATTATACAAAGTATTACACAAATTAAAAAAACTTTTTAATAAAATCCTTAATTAATTAGTCAATTAATTAGATATGGTAAGTGTGTTACTGATTTTTAACAGAGAAGGTCAAATTAATGAGTTCATATATTTGGATAGTAAAAAAAATAAATTTCAAATTATTATATAAATTTAATTAGATATTTTTATGTGAAATAGAAAGAATTTTAAATGACTTATTTTTAGAAAAAAATTTATATTTTTTTTATAGTTAAAAATGAAAATAAGTTAGACTATTCAATAAAAATATACAACTTAATATTTTTATAGCTTAATTCAGCTTGACCTATTTAAATAATAGATTTAATTTAAAATTTTTAATTAATTGAATAGATTAGATCTGAGCTTAAGAAAAAAAAAATATATTAAAATAACTTATTTAAAACTTATAAAATTTTTAAAAATATATTAAATAATTTTATATAAAAAAAATATTCATATTACGTATTCTCTAAAAGATACTTTCTCGAGTTTTAAACGTTATTGTTATTTGATATGTTTTATACGCTTAATGCTTATTTATATTTACCTTATCTCGATTATGTATTTTGATGAAATATAAATATATAATTTTATTATACATGTTTAAGATGTTGAACTATTATTTTTTTAATAATTGATTTAGATATAAGTCTTATGCCCTTTATAAAAATATACATATTTAAATAATTTAATAGTTTATTTATAAAGAAATTTAATGGTCTATTAAAATATCTCAATACAAATTAGGTTATTGAAAAAGTTAATAAATTTTTAAAAAGGTAATATTAAATTTAATAAAAAGCGTATGACAAATAATAGATTAAATTTATAGTTCAAAATTATTAAATAGGTTAAACTTATTTATATAAAGTTTAACTTATTTTTATCCTTAATTATAGTTAACTTTTTTATATTTATTATTCATGACTCTTGTCATACTTGACTCACACTAAGTATTCTTCATATTTTTCATATTTTCTAAAATTTTAAAATCCTTCGTTTTAACAAAATTTAAAACTAAGCTTGTATTATACTTTTAAAAAGATTTAAATATATTTTGTCTCTAAAATTATTATTTTATTTTAATTTTTTATCTTTATGGTTTTAAAATTTTTAGTTTTTTACTCCATTATAGCAATATGTAAAAACAGATATCTTGCAAGATATAATTATTTACACCAGTGTCTAGTGTGTTGAAAAAATCAAAACCTAAATAGAATAAAATTATTGGGACTAAAATAAAAATAAAAGGATTAGAACCTCAGCTTATAAAATTATAAAAAAAAATAAAAATTTTAAAATATAAACATAAACCAAAATTAAGGTAAATTATAGAAAAACTGTATTTATACCTTAAAAAATACTTTTTTTATGAGCAAAAGAATGCTGAAGAAAACAGCAATGCGTATTTTTCCAAACACTAGGCAGGTCCTTGCGGACCTCAATTCATCTAATAGCACTAAATCACTGCAAGCATGGAGTTTAAGTGTGTGCTTTTAAAAATATGTATATACATAAATTTAATGTGAAAACTGTAATTAACAGAACCAAGAGAAATATAAAATTATTATTATTTGAACATAAATTCAAATGCACACTGAATATATTAACTTAGAGCTTTTGCAGTGCTAACTTATGTCACAATCATCATCCCCGAGGATCAATAAATGTTACATTTTTCCATTCGTCACCATATCATCCTCATCATAGTCCTGAAGAACAATTTGGGAGGCTGAATCACTTTTTATCATTGCTTTTTCCTCAATCACAAACTTATCAATAAAACAGGTTTCAAACTCTCAACCACGTTATTCTCAATCTTGTAATCAACCATCACGAATCCATATCTTGTTAGGTACCTACCTGAATTATGAAATAGTATGACACAATTAAAATTGAATTAAAAAAAAGTACACACAATATTTAATATAAAATATCATTAACCTATAAAAAAGTCAAAAACAATTATAAATATACTGAAAAATTTTCTATAATGTTTCACTTTCTATGCCACAAAATTTAGACTTAAAGTCACTCTTAAAAACTAGTCCATAAAAAGAGATGTAAGTAGGAGCACCTATTTGAGGTATGGTGTCACTAATTAAGAAGTAGCAACTATAAATTAAGAAAAGGAACATAGATCCAATACAAGCATAAATTTGGAGTTTGGACCACCATAGCCAATTTAGGTGAACCGCACTGTGAGCCGAATCAATTTCAAGCTGAGTTATAGAGTCAAAAACGTGTTTGGAAATCTATTTGAACTCTGTTTTGGAGGAAGTAGAAATTTTTTACTTTGATCATAAAAATAATATTGGAAAGTATGTTTCTACCTTTGAAGGGAGAAATAAACACAGCGGTCAATTGTTAGTTAAGCTTAATTTTATGGAGTTCATCAGTTCAAGTTTTTCTTTTCTTTGCCAAATGATAATTTGTGGTTAAAGTCTTTATTAAAAATAATATAAATATGCTTTTATCGTAATGTTTCATGTATTTTTATATATATATAAAGTGTTATTTATTTATTTAATGAATAGTAGGCGATATTTGAGCGCGAGAGACACAGCACGAAGGGAATGGCACGATTGGTTTTAAATTTGAAATGTGAGAATGAGAGGACATATCATAAATTATGTCTTCCTTACAGTCCCCAGATCTTGACCAAACCTAAACCCACCTCATATCCATATCCTTTCATCTTGACTCGTTACCTTTTTCGAACAAACAAACATTTTATTATTATTATTTCACTATTTAATACTGCAATTCTCCACTTTTTTAAATATTTTGCTTAGACAAAATCAATATGGCTTCACTGGGTGCATTTTTGCATCTTAATATATATCATCCATCCAATTCTAACGTGTCCTAACAATGTTCGCTTCTTCCAATTTACAACATAAATTATGTTCAAGGGACATTGGAAAACGACAAACAAGAAATCTTCCGAACATTAAACGCTGTCTATAGTATAGCTTGCAAAAACCTGAAGCTGAAATCTTTTATTCAACAATTTTAAAATAAACTCCTATTTTATGTATGGAGGAAATATCATAGACCGTTAAGAATTAGACCATTAAAATATCAATTTCTATAATCTCACAACTCAGCTTCCAACAATTTCCATCTCAAGGCACACGGCATTATCTAATGGATGCTGATTTGAATCAGCAATTAATTATATCAAAAACCATAGATTTACAGTTGCTCAGTGTTTAGAGAGAAAAAAAAGAAAGGGATAAATCTAAATTTCATAAACACATGAATATAATTTGGCTGTATATGAAGCTATAAACAAATTTCTCTTGTTTTTCATTGTATTGTTGTGGTGAGCATACACTTGGAAATCAAGATACTAGTAGAGTAATTCAGACTGCACAATTTTAAAAACTCAGAAGACATTTGCTTCAGCACTGGGTTGCAACCACTCTGAATCACTAATAGTAGTTTTGCTGCCAATCCAGCCTCCACTGCCTGTGAGGCACATTCCTCAGGTGCAAGCTTGTAAATGGCCCACAATATTGACAATGCAAATTGTGTGCAACTCTCTGAGACCCTCATTAGCAACTTGACCACATTGGGAATGATGTTTGGACATTCTTTGAGAGCCATTCTTCCTTCTGGAAGGGTTGATAATACTTCTAGAATGTAGAGTGCTATCTCTAAGCACTCATTATTCAAAGAGGGTAAAAGCTCAATCAATTGAGGAATTGCTCCAAGGCTTATCACAGAGCTCCTAACTGATTCATGGGAACATATAGCCTTGAGTAATATGAGGCCAGTTAAGACCCCAGTTGGGTGTTTCTTATCCCTCACTAACCTCAATAATCCAACCAAAAGACTCAAACTTGAGACAATCTCTGTCTGGGTCTCATTCCCTTCCTTCAACAACATTTCAATCAATTTGGCACAGTTCATCTTTGTCTCAATGGTTCCCTCATTCATAATATCCACTAACAATGATACCTTAGCTGGATGCATCAGATTTCTCTTCAACTCTGAACTCAAATCCAAATTCACAATAATCCCAACTGCTTCAGACCCAACAGCATGTGAAGTGAAAGGACCCAACAAAGAAGAAACCAAGGCAATCCCACCATTTTCTTCAACTCTTTTCCTTGCAGACACATGAGATGCAACAAGTTGCCTCAGATCCTTAAGAGCTCGAACTCTCGCTTGACCCTTCACCTTCTTGAGCGTGTCCAAGAGGTCCAAGGCTCTTCCTTGCACATCCTCAAGCTTCTTCTTCATGGCCAAGTACCTGTGAGAGAACCAAGTGAGGATCAAGTGGCTTAGGGTCTTGTTGGGAGTGACAGAATCGTCCCAAAGCTCCTGCATTGTTGTGGGACAAGTGTTGTGACCAAGTGAGAACCATTTGAGGATGTTGGATCTGTCATAGGTTTGACCAGTGCAAAGGGTCACAGGGTCTTGCATTGGTTCAAGAGAGATTGGGCAAATGAACACAGAGGGAACATCAATTGACTCTAGCTCCTCAATCATCACTTTCAGATCCATTTTCTCAACCAAAACACCACCTTTAAAGGCAGTTTCTAGACCCAACACAGCTTCAATCTTCACATCCTCATTTGATGGCTTATACAAAGGCATTTTTGCATACCCTTCTATCATAAGCAAAAGAAAACACTTGCAAAGAACAAAATTTGGGTTGAGGAATGAAGAAGAGAGAGAGAGACCCAAATCAGCAAAGGATAAGAAGCGTGTGGGACTGATGGAAAGAGAGAAGGAAGCAATGAAAAAAGAGGGTGAGAGAAAGAAATAGTGGTCAAAGGGACAACCTTTTAATTATCCACGCCCTTGCTTTTTCTTTTTTCTCACTCTTTCTTTTAGGTGGTGTCTTTCTATGGTCAAAAAGTATTGCCTTGCTTATTCATCATCGACCACATGATTGGGTCTTGATTTTCTTCCCTAACACCAAAGCTCTCTTCTTCTTCAAGCTCTCCAAAAAAGTAAGATATCATTCAGCTCCATATCATCATCTCAACAATACAACGGATCCAAAAGGTTTCATAAGAAGAACAAAATAACTCCTTTCCCTACCCAACTCAATTCCCCAAAGAGAGAGAATGACACTGTTATATTTATATTTTTCTATAAATTAGATATTTTTTTATAACTCTCTGATTGTTGTGGTTAAACAAAGTTAACACTTAGTAATATCTCAATGAATTATAGTAATATTATTTAAATTCATGTTTAAAAATTAAAGTTCACAAAACTTTTAAAGAGATAAAAAAACTCATACATGATTATTTAATAATGAAATATGGAGTATTATTGAGTTTTAACAGTGACTGGGCAGCGGTGTAACATTGTCCCTGCAACACACGTGCAGTGATATAGTTTGAGTCAGTGACACAGTGAGGGGGTTCTTTCATTTTTATGTGATGAATGAAAAAGTTTGATTCCCTCTACCCATGAGTGTGAGTTGTGGGGTCCACAAGGGACAATCTTGAACTTGAAGACGCAACCTGCGACAGATAGTCAAAAAGGTTAATAGATCCCATTAACCCTAAATTTCAATTACACCTCCCAAGACTGGGATGCTTCCTCTTCTTCTTTCTATTTTTAATATTTTTTAAATATAAAACCTACCCAAATTATAAAGATACTCTTTCTCTTTCCTTACTTTATGTTTCATGTTATTATTTCTATGAATGCAATATTTAGTTCTTCTAAACATTGACTGTAATAGTGCCATAAAGTTTTACTTTTCTATTTTAGTTTGACCAAACTTGGTAAACGACTCAATTATGCTACATAATAAAGCACTTGCATCTTTTATTCTTTTATTTATTATTTACCAAAAATTTAAATTCTCATTCACCACTTTCAATTCAAATTTAGAGAATACATTGTCTACACATTTGGGGTTAACTATTAGCAGTGTTTTGTAAGAAAAGTTATGAGTGTGAATCTTTCAAACAAAAAACAACATTATGTTATGTTTACTCAATAGATCATGTACGGGGTGTCACTTCTAAGGCTCTTCATTCTTAAGACTATTTTGACCTCCAATATCCATAGCATAAAAATCAAAATTCACGTAACTCTAACCAATGCTGACTACCTCATAAAATACAGTTTAACTTAATAATTGAATTTGAATCGCGTGAATCGCTATAATGTTATAAGAACAAGGTTAACATTTATTAATTACGACCCATCTTAATTACCTACCTATCAAAGGAGAGAAAGTGGGTTATGAAACAAAAAGAAACTGGGATTGAAAATTAGTTGTTGGAAATCGATCCTTAATGCTACTCTCCCTCCATGTCCCCCACTTATACTAATCTTGGGATAGAAAAATATTATATTCAACATTTTTATTGCATGCAAATTAAGATTTTTACAATCGTTATTTAAGTTAAAATTAAAAGTAATTACTATAGTACCCGTAAACTTAAGAGAGTTTTATATATTTTCTTATATTTTAATTATTAAAATATATTTATATTTTTTTAAAATAAACTATTAATTTTATTGTTTATTAATTTAAAATTAATTATAAAAATTATTTTATATGTAAGAGAGTACAAAGTATTTTTTAATTTACAAAATATCGTAAATTTCATAAAAATTTAAAAAGTCCAACTGAATGTAGACCGCACAATTGGGCCAAACTATGCGATTGGTGAGCCCCATTATCCTGGGCTAAGCATGAAAAAACCCTTTTAAAGCTTTTTGACCCAAACTTCAATTTGTACTATTACTTATTATTTTAACCAATGCAATGCATGAAACAAGATTTCCACATTGATTCTTTTAAAAGATACAATAACTTAAAGAATAACATTATGTACAAAAGATAATATGTTTTAGGATAAAATATGTTAAATTATGATTTTAGTTCTTATAATTATAGTTATATTTGAAAAGAGTAAATAATTTTAACCTCTTTCGTATCTTATCTATTTTACTCGTTTTAAAAATTTATACAAAAATTCCTCTCATTTTATAAACATGACACACTTGAATTCAAAACATTTATTTTAAAATAAAATTAACAAAATATAAAATTTCAATTTTTACCAATTTTGACTAATTACATTCAAAACATTTATTTTAAAATAAAATTAACAAAATATAAAATTTCAATTTTTACCAATTTTGACTAATTACATATTTTTTTTCTATTTCTTACATATTTTACAAACTTTGTTATATTTTATATACAATACAATTAAGTACCTTTACAATAGTAAAAATTTTAAATTATTAATATCTAAACAAATTAAAAAAATCAACATAGCATTAAAACAATGCAATATAAAAAAATTATCAATGACAAAAATTATTTCAAAGCTATTGTAAAAAAATTATAAGGTCTTAATAATGTGAATTATAATTTTTTTAAAAAAATAAATTATTGTTTATTTTATATTAATTAATTATCAAAAAATAAAAAAAAATTTCAAATAATTAATAATTCATGTCATTACAGTTTTATTATATTTTTTATTGCAAAATATTTTTTGTTTTAAACATAAAACGATAATTTTGTTTATTGTTTGTTTTTATGCTACTTTAATATTATTTAATATTTTTGCGTTCGAGAATTTGATTATTTAAACTGTTCACAATAATAAAAGACTTAATTATAATGTATTTATAACAAAGAATGAGTTTGGGTAACGTTTAAAAAATAATTTATACAGTGAGACAAAATCTATACCGATAACATGTATTTTTATCAATTTAATATAAAATAATATTTTGAGTTTAAATATAACGTATTTATAAAATAAGAAGAATTTTGTGTATTTAAAAAATAGGAATAATGTTATGTAAAACAATAAAAAAATAAAATTTCATCTTGGTAATTGTTACTGCACCTAAGGGATTTAAGCAGTTTAAATACATTCATTACATTGATTAAGATAAATTAAACATGTGTATTTAATTAATTTTACATTATTAGGATATGTTTAAAAAAAAGAAATGTTAAATATAATCTTTTAATTGTTGTAGTTGGGAAAATATTTTCATATAAATTAATTCTATATTTTTTAAATATTTAAATTTAAATTTGATAATTATATTTTATTTTTTATTTTGTACTTTTTATTGTTAAAAAAATACAAAAGTGACAAAGAAAATGAAATTAATAGAAATTTTTATTATGTTGTGATATTATTGATAATTTATAATTATAAATTTTAAATAATTTTTTAAAATTTTAATAAGAGCAAAAAGAATAAAAAGAAAACAAACTAATATCTCAAAATAAAAATGTCTATTTCCCATTTTGTCCATGATATCCGTGAAGACACTATTCTCTCAATAAACATGCCAAATGTAGATTTCTCATTGAAATTGCAAAGTAAGCAACTTCGTATGGTTCTCAATTATAGCACCATACATGCAACACCCGTTGTTATATGAATTAATCACTTTGTAATTTTCTACATCCAAATTAACTTCTTGTACCCAACAATATTTTTTCTTTTGATAGGCAAAACAAATATTATTAGAGAGAGTTCAAGAAAAACTCAAAACTCATATACACAGAAAAAAAAAGAGAGCAAAAATATACTTATACAAAGTTAATACAGATGTAATTTTGTAAATTTAAATACTAGTTAACATAATAGCTTATCTCTTACTGACAAGTAATATTCATTTCCAGGACTTTAGAATAATAGAATCTATGACCTCCCTTTCATCAAAAACACTATTAGAAAACACAATTCTATTTTTATGTAACCACAAAGATTACATTGTACTTAGTCAAACAATTAATAAGTATATCCTTATCTTTTACTACAACCAACACCAAACCAAGAAAGCAAGTGAGTCGATAAATCTGAAGGCAAAACTAGTGAGAATCCAAGCCAACGCGCAGTAAAGTACCAAAGTTGAGATGAAACTAAGCACGTTAAAAATAAATGAGTTGGAAGTTCCTCCAAACCATAAGAGAAGCAACAAGTTATATCATCAATTTGAACACCACGATCAATCAGTAAACCTTTACAAGGAAGTGCATTCAACAACAATTGTCAAAAAAATATCAGATACTTAAGAGGGACCTTCCCTCTGCATAGCCTTTGCAAGACATCTGTTGTACACTAATTTACATTATTAGGACCACCAAAAAATTCAAATAGTCATAAATACGCAAATTGCACTGAATAATAACTTGAAGAATCTGTCTTCCATATCCATTTATCTTCTTATAGTAACTTAATAGAAATTCCATCTACAAACTCTAACAAAATATTAAAGTTTGAGATCTCATATTGAAAGAATCATATTCGTCAACTAACATCTCAAACCACCTCTACCCAACAATATTGTTTTAGTATTCAAACTTAATTCTAGATATGCAATCATTTATAAATTCTTTGTTTATTTTTAGTCTTTAATAAAAAAATATTAGATAAAAATAATCCATTTCCCTTTCTTGTGAAGTGTCACTATTATCAATAATTTAAGAAAAGCTTATGAAAAAGTCTCTATTGATGACATCACATGTTGGTTTTTCTCTTAGTATCAAATAAATTTTTTAGTTTAACATAATCTCATTGAATAAATTTATATTAAAACCTATTAAAATTGATTATGATGTTGCGTGTTTGCGTATTTTTATATCAAATATGACATGAAGTTATGTTGATTTGTATTAAATAGAAAAATAAAAAAGTATTTGTAACTTATATTGTGCAGTAATAAAAATTATTCTATAGATAGAAAATTTTTAAAATTTTTTTACCTGATTGATTCCATTGCATGCTACTATCAAACATTGTTGTTTTAACTTTCAACATAATTTATTGGGCTTTCAAAATAGGGTTAAATAATATTTTTTTTAAAAATAAATGTTTTAATTTATTAATTTTATAAAATTAATCTTTAAAGTTATTATATAATTTTAAACAATTAAGAATAGTATTTTAGAAACAAAAAATATATATCATATAATAACATGTAATAC